GTATTTTACCGAATGTGTTTGTCGTAACTCGTCAATCAATAAATATTTCATTAAGTGATACTTATCGATCCGCTGAATAATGTACAAGTCGCCATTACACAATAACCAAAATCTGCGATCAAAATCTAGAATCTCGAGTCGCACAACACTTTTTAAAGCCTGTGTCCACGATGCTAGAACTTGGTCCAAGTTCCAGTTTCGAGAAATGTGTAGCCAATCAACGCGCGGCTTTTACGGAGTGGCTGCAAGTTGATCGGCTACACATTTGCCGAAACTAGAACTTGGAGCAACAGAGGCCTTTATAACGCTTCGGTTTCGAGTGTTCCTCGCGAGAAGCGGCGTAGAAAGACCAGCCAGATTTTACGCAGATGCGCGGCCGGGAGGGATAATCTCAGATTGCTGAACGACTCAATATTCACCGGCGGCGTAGCCCGGTGCACGCAACGCGTCCTCCCGCTCGGGACAAAGAGGAACGCCAGTTCAACCCCACGAGAGAAGTTACCATTTGCATTTCCGCTGCAAACGCGGCGCCACGCACGTGCCTATCGTGCGCGTCATTCGCGCACCCCTCGACATCGGGCGAAGCACGCGAGCCACGGCGAGGAGGAGCAGAGTTTCCTCGCCGTGTACTTTGCATAATTTCACGAATCGCGCGTATAATCGTTCCGCCGCCGTCGCCGCCGTCGGTGCTACGAAACGTGCGCCGGCGACGGGTGTTTCATGCCGCGGGCGATCCCGCGAGTCGCCCGGGCATTAGCATAGGGTTTGACGGAGTGACGCGTGTATGCACACCTCGCGCCTGCTGTCCTCCGAAAGCGACACGTGGCCCCAGCCACGAGACGCGACCGGAAGGGTTGAGACCCGATGGATTCCCCCCCGCTCCTTGTTCTTCTTCTTTTTTCCGCCGCGCCGAAACTCGGATCGAAGAACCCGAGTGAATGTTTAGACATAGGTGTATATACGGAAGTGTCAGTGTGACACGTGCCGCGACACTACGGAACGTTTGCTCGCTCCGCTCGCTGTGTACTCAACATTAGCATGGGATTTCAATGCCAGCTCGGCGTATAGATTTTCTTGCCTTTATTCTTCGGAGCGCTTTTGGATGTCGCGTGTATAACTGTGGAATGTATAAGAGATTCGGTCGGACTCCTCACGTACTATTTTCTACAGAACCGCGCATAAATAATGGAAATAGAAATCACTCGGAAACTGTTTTTGCTCCGCACGACATTCTGTATATTAATGGATTAAGTCTTGTGTCACACCGACGTAATTTGTTTGCCCACAGATGAATATTTAAGCGCGCTCGCGAGTCTTCTATTAGAGATACAAATTACGAAATATTAAGTACAAAGTCTTTTCAGTTAACAGCAACAACTTTATAACGACCTTAGAGGAATTCAACTGAACGCGGGGGCCTTCGTACACGAGACAATGCGACTCAAAAGCGCCGACAACGTTCCATCACTAGAAAATCAATTTTCCCAGCGAATATCGGAGCCTATTGTTCCCTTTTTTCCACGTGTCTCGTCCTATTCAACGCGGCAATCGCGTCGTTTGGGGAATTTTATCGAAGCAGCCGCGGTAATGTCGAGGTGGACTGTCGATGAACGACCATGACCACGCGCACAATGGTTCATGCGATCCTTCGTCTCTTCGCTCGATGCCGCGTATATCTACGTCGCTTTTGTGTCGCGCCTAAGACGCTTCGAAAAAGCACCGCGACTAATTAATATCCGAGCTTTTTGCCGAAGCAATGCGGACGCGCGTATCAAATTTGTGACCAATCACCAAGTTATCCGGTAATTTCAACGATCTCCTCCATCTCGTGTATATCCCTTCGAGGTTCCGTTTTATCGCAAATTGCAACGTGCGTGTTTCATTCAAACCGTAACAACTAAATCTCCAATTACACTCATGGATCACCCGATTCTTTAAAAAATGTATTTACTAGTTTTCATAATTTCGTCAAGTACACTTTAAGCCACACATCATAAAAGTCTCGTCGAGTCCTAATTTGGTCGGGAATTTTATGGATTTATCAACGCATCTGTGTGCGTAAAAATATGTAAATAAAAATAAAACAAAAACCGAAAGTTTCAAGTATATGACAATTAAAGTTTCGAAAATGTTTTGGTCTCGTGTAAAGTTTTGACGAAAACCCCCTTTTTTACAACGCTTTAGATTCAATTATTTGAAAAGAGTAGATCTTCTTGCCTCTTATGTAAAGACGTATTTTGTGTTGAACAAAAATAATGTATAGGACAACGGAACATGGTAAATGATGAGCACAAATCTAGAGCCAACACGTCACCTTAGTGAGCACGTTTCCTTGTTTCCTTTCCAATTCATTAAGCGGATGCGAGTTAGTCTCCCAGAGTTTTGTAGCTACTAACTTGACTTATGGATCTCATCATGCGATCGAGGTTACAGACTTGGTTAGTGGCTGGTAGTGCCATGTATGTCGATCTAAGATAAAAATCCTAAGAGCCAATATTTTAACGAATCACGTGGTGTAGGGCCACATCATAATTAAGCGTAGCGTCGCGTCTATGATTTATCTCAACTACGGAATTACGAAACCATCGGGCATGTGAAAGTACATATCGCCTTTACAAATACCTATGATATACATCAATTTTTTCTCGAGATGTAAAGATATACTTTATCTCTTTCAGACTCCCACATAGATAGTCGAAATTTCGTATTGTCATTAATTTTGTTTCAGTATTATTTATTTCGATTCATTCGCACTCAGTTAAAGGATAAGATTCGTAACAGTCGCGACTTACCGAAACGTTTTTGATGCAACCGTCATGATGACTCCTTGTGGATGGCAGGATAAGGATAACCAGGCGGAACACAAAAAAATTGAAACAAGAATGAAACAAAAAAGTAATTTTGCGGTATTTATTTTAGACTAGAAGAGGAAAAAAACGATATAATATTATTAACATATTAATGAATACTAATTAAAGGATCATAGGTTGTTAAATAATAATAATAATAATAATAATAATAATAAACTATATACATCAGAATGGTAGGAAAAAATTGTGCTGATCGACATACATAACATTATGCTAACTGGATATTCTATTAGAGGTACATAATACCGCATAAATGAGTAGGAAAAATAAGCGAGAAGCAAAGCCACACCCTCGTCAGCCATGGATACGAGTGTAAAATAAAATAAATTCGAAAAAAGAAATAAACCGACATTGTGTGTATCGCCAGCTGCTCAAACTCGAGACATCCGGTTCCAATCCGAGAGAGAAAAAAAAACCGCGTGGGCAGACGAGAGCGTGACCATCACAAAGAAAATTCATAAATAACTAATATATATATAAAAGAAAATAATTACTAATAAAATAATTACTAGAAAATAATTTTATGACAGTGGCATATATGATATATAATATGAATTCGCATGTAATTCCCGATGTCGTACCTATATTACGTCGTCGTTAATGGCAGATAAAACGCTACAGCGACGCTTGGACGCTGTTTGTGAGCTAACACGTAGAAGTAGTATCGTCTGTTTACGTGTATTTGAATAGAGGCTAGTTGCGAGGAAGGGCCTTATCCGGATTTCGGGCTGAACTTGCGGGGAGACTTACGAATAATATTTACAATAAAACTAAATACAAGAAACACGTAGCAAAAATGAAATCCGTCTAGGGCATTAAGATGTTGGAATGGCTTCGCAAATAATAACGACGATAATGAGAGCGATAGGTGACAAAGTGAATTAGATCCCTAAAATAGTAATGAATTTATATCGTATCCGTTAATTGGATAAATATCACTAAACTTCGATATAAAATATAGTAAAAGTATTCTTATGTCCGAGTCTTTAACTGTACAAAGTGCGTACGAGCAAAGTTTTCTGATTTCAATATTTAAGCTATTAGCTGATTTATAGAAGTCAATCAAGTTCCTAGTATTGATAGAATACTTTATTATCACTTTTTTGCTTCCTACTAACTGGCAATTTTCTTATATTCATACCCTCATATTTTCTCTTTCACTCTGTTTATATACTTTTGCATACTTTCATTCGCTCATATACTAAATAATGAATAGGAACTTTTAAGAGTATCTCTTAATTCTAGATATATCGTTTAAGTATATCCTATATATATGTGTATACATATATAGGATATTCTTTTTTTCAGCACTGTACTCTAAATTAATCTTTCACTGCACTGATTAGATTATTCGTTATTATTATTATAATCCGTTATTTGATTGTCTGTTTTTTATATCTGATCCTGTATTAGTATTTCTTTTTTTCCCCTCCCAATTAGACGTTTAGTTTTATTTTATAACGTACAGCTTCAGAAGATATCACATTTCTAATATTACTGTACAAGTAATATACAAGTGGAACAATATTAGAAGGTTTGTAATATACAACAATGTAGAATTAGTGCAATTATTAGAGAATAGTCGCAGTACATAAAATATTTATAAACGACTTAACACCGGCGAGTTTCAAAATTTCTACCGCAATGTCAAGTTCAATGAAAGTCAATATAGTTCAAAATCGTTTACATCGTCTAATAACAGAAATTAATCAACAAGCCAAAATAAAAATCTTTTCAGCGTAATGAATAAAATGATTCCTTCAAAACTTCCACCATATAAATAAATAAATATATATATATATTTAAATATATATATACACATATTTATACATTTAAATATATATATAAGAATAAATAAATACATATATATAATATGTAATATATACACATTATGTGTTTATGTGTTGTACATTATGCGTACACATGATATATTATATAATGGTATATAATAATTTGAAACATACGTGCATATATATATGCACGGATATATATATGTATAATACATATAATACATAAAATATATATATATTAATATATATTGTATATTTATATGGCAGCTCGATAAACCAATACGAATTTGGAATAAACATCCAACGATCGTTCAGTCGTTTAAGTCAGCCAGACACTCACCGGCCGTAGTACTAGCTGCGCTGGCCGTAGTAGCGGCGGGATGTTGCTGCTGCTGTTGCTGCTGTGACTGGAACATTGCCGTGGGGTGAAGGAATACCGATCCGTACATCATATTTTCATCCGATTGCTGTTGTTGCTGCTGGTTGACTTGTTGACTGGCTGTGGTGATCACCGGCGAATTACCAATACCAGGCACGCCGGTGGCACCGCTACCGCTGGGCACGATGGGCGCTCCGGGAGTCGGCGGCACGAGACTGCCTTCCTCGACAGCGACGCGCACCGACTCGATATGCCGCCGCGAAAAGACGTGCTCCTGTAGCGGCGTTTTGGCCGAGTAGCGTACAGAGCACAGTCTGCACTCGTCTGGTCCGGTCGGGCCACGATGTGGTTGAACGGCTGAGCCTTCGGCCGGCAAGCCAGCCGCTAATCTAGCCTTCTTCTCCTTAGCTCGGGCGTTCTGGAACCACACCTGCAACTCGTCTTCATTAGTCTTCGTAAGCTCGTGCATTAAACGCATGCGTGTCCAAAGAAGTGTGGTCTTCTTATATGTGTATTAATGGTTATTATGAGTTTGTGGTTGGCTCGCACGAAGATTATCGATGCTCACCTGGACCACCCGTTTTGGAAGGCCGATCTCTCGGCCAAGCATCTCGCATTCGGCCATCGTCGGTGTTTTGTAGTCCGAGAAGAGCGACTTCATCACCTTCACCTGAGTAGTCGACATCTGTGTGCGATATCGCTTGCCGCCGGATTGGCCGGTATTGCCGCCGGATTGTCCACCGGTTGCTGTCGGGCCGGACGCATTCCCGGTATTTCCGCTGGCGGGTCCTTGTCTTGAGCTCTGTGTGCTTGACGCTGGACTTGCCGGTCCGCTTTCATCATCCAAAAACTCTGTAGTCTCGCTCATGCTGTCGTCATCGCATACGCTGCGTTCGGATAAGTCAGTCAGAGGTCCACAATCGCTGCCGCCGCGGAAGTGGGCGCCGTGTTGTTCCTCGAGAAGACTACTGAAATTGCTTAAACACAATTTCATCGGTCGGCTGAGGTCAACAGGTTTGCTCAGATCCAACGGTGACTCGCCGCTATTTCCTCCGGCCTGATGATTTGCCGTCTCCTGTTTTCCGTTACTGGCGTGCGCCTGTAACTCGCTGAAGTATCGCTTCATGTCCTCATAGTATTTTAACGATTTCAAAGACACCTCCATTTCGCTGTTTAGAGGCGGAAACAACGGTGGCATCATGTGAGGAGTGCTAGAATTGGAAGGAACGGATTCCATCGAGAGCTCTTCGTCCGGGATGTTGTCGATATTCACCTCACCGCGAGCCACTTGGTCGGCGTGTTTGCTGCTAAGGTGAGATTCTAAAGCAGATTTGACTTTGAATAGCGCCGGACAGAATGGGCAGCGCTTGTTAATAACTTGGCTGTGGGCGCGGAATTGACCCTTACGCTCGCGGGCGCGCGTATTTTGGAACCACACCTGTACTACACGCTTCTTCAAACCGACCTCACGAGCGATCGTCTCCAGCATCTTTCTCGATGGATTAGATTCGATCTGGTATTTTTGATAAAGGTAATCTAACTGTTCTGGAAGTATTGTGGTTCGTAAACGTTTATCCTTGGGTTGCTCGTTGTGTTCTGAATTCGAGCGATTGTCGCTGCCCGTTCCCTCCTCGGAATCCTCAAACTTCCTCTTCTGTATCATGCTGATAAGCGAATGTTGACTATCCGATGCAACTGCAGAGCTTTGGTTGGCATTAATTGCTTGTTGTTGCAAAATCCCGAAAGGTGAGTCAGGCGGGTACGCAGAAGGGAATAAAGTCGGGTTCATGATATGTATTAGCTGATGCTCGCGCCAAAGTTCGAATCGACCGAACATCAGGTTGCATTTGTCGCATTGAAAACTGCCTTCTTTCGACTCAGTTTGCGACTGCTGCTGCTGCTGCTGCTGCTGCTGCTGCTGCTGTTGTTGTTGTTGCTGCTGCTGCTGCTGCTGTTGTTGTTGTGATTGTTGGTGTGTCTGAGATAGCGTTTGCTGTTGATGAGGAGACGTGGCGGTGCTCAATGGTTGTTGCAACTGTTCGGTAAGCGCGGGCGTAGTTGACATATTGTTAGCTACCGTATTGTTTGTAGTCGTTGTAGAACTGCTGTTGCTGTCTTCGGAACTGAGAACCGCAGCGACTTGAGCTGCCGCAGCCTGTGCTTGTGCACTTCTCTTGGCATCCTCCTCTTTGAAACAATGGGTCTTCTGATGACGTATAAGCTCGTAATATCTTTGAAATACTAGCAGGCACTTTTTACATTGGTAATTCAAGCCTGGTGTTCTCTGAAATCTACCGGACCCATCGTCGTTTTCGCGTCCACCTGTCGCCACGGGTTCCGCGGCAGGTTGATTTTCATAGACCTTACGTGCTTTCTGTCTAGCATTCTGAAACCACACTACAATCACGCGCGGGCTTAAACCGAGAAGTTTGCTAAGATACTCTAAGTCGTCATCCTTCGGATACGCGTTGTTCTCGAAAAATTCCTGTAGAACTTTTATTTGGTAATCGGTGAATCTCGTGCGATTGGCACGTTTGCCAGAGCTACCGCCGGAGGTGTTACTGCCGTTACTGTTACCACCAAAATAGTCAGTCGGTCCGCGACCCGGGCTCAGAGATCTCTGTGGTGTGAGCGCCATCGCGGCAATCGCGCTCGTCACTACACCACCGGCTCCCGGACTGGGATTGGCAAAGTTCTGGGCAGCTAATTTCGGCGGTAACATCGGAGTACTCGGGGTGTTTGTAGCAGAGGTGTGGGAAGTAATATCATGATGAATGGCCGAAAATACAGAACTCATACTGAGCGCGGGTGAATGCGGTCGCGATTGTTGCCCACCCGAGCTACCGGGCGAGTGATGCTGCTCTTCTTGATGTTGCACAGCTTGTTGCTGCTGTTGACATTGCGACTGCTCGAGTGTCTCCTGTTTAATCTCGGAAGCTTGAGATGCGCTGGTGTTTTGCATAGACGGTGGAGGCGTGGCTTGTTTGTTTGGACTTTTGTCGTCCGAGGAACTGCTACCGGACACGCTTGAATTTAACGGTGTTACTTTTGCCTCGCCGGTTTTCTCATATTCTTCGAGATTTAGAGTGGTACTTGGCGGATTATTGAAATTGTACGGACTGTCTTTGTTACGCTGCCGTTCTTTGAATAACGTATTTCGGAACCAATGTTTTATGACTTTGGGCGGCAGACCGCTTTGGCTGGCCATATCTAAAATTTGTTCTTCACCAGGAGAATTATTAATATCAAAATGTGCTCGTAGTATCTTTAGTTGTTCATCAGTTATACGCGTACGCGCTCGTTTCTGTGATGCAGCTGCATTCGCCTGAAAGATTAAAAGAGTCGTCGCTTTTCTCCCGCTAACAATTGACTTCCGATTATCCGAAAGATTTATAAATAGACGTATTATTAAGATAAACAAACAGCTTTTCCGAAGATTTTTTATTTGCCTCCGTTTCCGCGCACAAATTGAAATATTCTTTTGAATTTGTTTTAATTTTTGTTTTGCCACGATTTTATCTCTCATCGCAATTACATTACTATTATGTTACTTACATTTTAGCATTATTTGTTATTATTTCTGTCATGTGCGATACTGTTATAATTTCATTTGTGTTTTTTACCAAGTATTTGTTTTCATCAATAGGTTGGTATAAATAGATAAATGTGAATAAAGAAATATTATATAAAAATTTGTAACACTTACCGCTGCTGCTGCTTGCTGCTGTTGGAGAGCGAGGTGCTGCTTGGCAAGAAGATCTGCTTGATTAATCGATGGATATCCAGTAGCGGCACCATCATACGGTGGTGGCGGCAGCATCATTGGCACAAGAGGTGGTTGCAAGTTCATAGCAGCTAATGCGGGTACGTTCAGCCCCAGTGGCAACCCCATCATCCCCATCATCAATCCTGGGTATTGTTGCAACTGTTGCTGCAATTGCGACGCAGCCATTGCAGCATTTAGAGCAGCCTGCATTTCAGTCATCTGTTGCGCAAACGAAAGTTGAGCCTGCTGTTGTTGCTGTTGTTGCTGCTGCTGCTGCTGCTGTAGTTGCTGCTGCTGCTGCTGCTGTTGTTGTTGCTGCTGCTGCTGCTGCTGCTGTTGCGACTGTTGTGAAATATGATGTTGCGGGTTGGTAGATAGCACAGTCGGCGTCGTGGAATCTGTACTTGAAACTGGCGTATTGCTTAACGCTGGAGTGGTCGCTGGAGTAGTAGATGTAGCTTCGGGCGTTCGGCTAATACACTCTTTGCTCTCGGCATTTTCTTCCTTCTCCTTTTCACGAGATTCTTTGTCAGAACTGAGATCTTGAGGTTGTCCGGCGGCGGGCGTGGAACTTCTTGGCGCCGTGGTGGTTGACGAAGACGTCGCGACGGTCACAACAACACTTTTCTTCTCATATTCGCACTTGAACTGTTGCGCGTATTTTTCAAGAAATTCGCGCGGTACAAGATCACGATGAACCTCTTCACAATGAGCCTTCAACACCCAAACGCTGCTGAAAGCTTTGTTGCAGTGCTGACAGGTGCTGCGCGTAAGTTCCGGTATCACATCGTCATCGATATGAGCTTCTTCGGTCTCTTCCTCTTTTTCTTCCTGTATGGCAGCAAGAGCTTGCTTTTGTTGTTCCTGCTTCTGTTGTTCTTGCTGCGCTTGAAGGGCGGCGGCCGCTTCCTCTTCCTTGCGCTGTCGTCTTTGGTGATTTTCATTGAACTGCATAACGAGGTCGAAGCCAAAACTCTCCAACAAATGCTTGTACATTTGTGAGGTCTTATGTCGTGGCTGCGAAAGAATATCCTGCGTGGTTTGCGAGTGTTGCGTAGCTGATTGTAAGTGTTGTTGCGGCCCTGGTGTCGTAGATGTAGGAGGTGGCGTCTTAGCGGGCGCAGATGAAGCTAATTGTTGCGATACAGCAAATTGTTGAAACAACGCCAATGCCGGATTGTTCAAAATATTGCATAGCTGCTGATGTGCCGCTAGCTGATCTTGGTTGACAAAGAGACTATTGCAACGCGAACAGGAAACCATCCCTCCTGCATTGCTTGTGTTTGTGTTGACGGGCGGACTATTCGGACTTAGTGGTGGTTGTTCGATCAATGGTCGAGCGAGATCTAACTGGCCACTGGCTGCAAGATCCTGCAGTTTACTGGCACGCGTTTGATGAAGAACACTTCTCATATGGATGTCCAAAGTGCTTCCCTGACTATAAGCGACCTTACAGATATTGCACTTGTACGGTTTCTTGTCCTGATCGTGCTGGGAATCGGGCGATTCAGTCGGGCTAGCGGGAGGTACTACCGAAATCAATGTGTTGTTGTTACCTTGCTCCTGCATTGCCCGCTTCAACTTATGCAAATGACTTACACTGTTGTAATGCACTAGAAGGATGTTCTTCTGCGTGAAGCTCTCTTTACAAACATCGCATTTATACGGTCTGTTAGGATCTAAATACTTTTCCATAGGGTAAGACATTTTTTCACCCTTGCGATGCAACAAAGTCTTGTTGTGACTAGTCAGATAACTCTGACGCGTGAAGGCTACCTTACATCGATGACACTTGAATTTTCGACTTGGATCTTGATAGGAATCCTCAGCAATCGTTTGGCTATTTAAATAATCCTCTAGGAGCCGTTGTTCCTTCTGCAATGGAGATGAATCACTGGCATCACTTTCCTCCTCGTCACCTCTACCAGCGTCCTCTTCCACATGCAGCTCGCCTGTCAGGCCGGCTTGTCTCTTCAACGCTTCTTCCGTTATTGCCTGAAGAAGGGGATGCGAGTGGAGCAAACTCTGCTTATACTGGGCCATCTCTTCCTCATGAAGATCGTGGGCAGATTCTAAATGCCTCTGAAGCGCTTGAACTGAGCGAAAAGATCGTCCGCACAGGGCACACTTGGTCGCATCTCTAATAGCATGATATTGGGAGTGTTGCTGAAGTTTCTCCAAAGTTTTGAACGCGAGACTGCACTGTACGCACCGATACTTATAAACATGTTTTTCGCTAACCGCCAAGGTAGGCGCGGTGGTCGGATGGGGCTCCCGACAATGGTGTTGCCGAAGTTCTTCGATAGAACGCCAAACACGGTCGCACTTGTTACACCTGGCTAACTCTAATTCGTCATTATCACCCCGTTCACTCATCTCTTCTTCCTGGTGGGTCTTCATCGTTGTCGTGGGTGACGTCGGCGTCGTTGCGGTCGTTACAGCTGGCATCGAGGAACTCCGATTATTGTTCAGCCAATGACTTTGATCCACTAATAATAGTAGCCTCTGCAGACCATCGGTATTAACGGAGTGAATTTGCATCACGTGCTTTTCCAGAGCGGGACGTTCCTTGAAATTATCTTGGCACAACGGGCATAACAATTCCGTCGCCGGCTCTTCCTTTACCGTTTCAGTTTTCTCCTCCGAATCTTGAACGTGAGCCACTTGCAAATGCTGTCGTAACTCTTCCCGCGACGTTGGCTGATACGTACAGTATAGGCACGTAATTTCTTCTTGGTCGTTCTCGGCCTCGGCTTCCGGTTCTGCATCATTGTCCGGCTCTTGTTTCACTTCACTACCGCAGTCGCTACCTTCCTCTCGTCGTTCTGGAAGTAGACGAAAAAAAATTTGTTTCAGGGTTTTTATATGCCAACAACTTGTCGAACGCCCTCACATTAAGAACGGCCAGAATCGCAATAGCTGATTTGAGCAAAATAAATTATGGTATACAGTGAAATGCCGTTATTGCAAAAGAGAAACAAAATTATTCAAGTTTATTTGATTGTACTATTTTTTTAGTACTTTTAAATATACATTGCTTGATGCAAAAATTGAGAAATAAAATATATCATGTAAAATCCATCCTACAATTGTAAATGAAATAATAATTTGTCAGCCGCCTCTTATCGACAGTGACGTTTATTGATCGATATATTTAGTTTTACGACCAAAAACTTCCTAGTGCGAAATTAAAACAACATGCGTATAGAGAAAGAGACAGGAAAATTAATGAGTTTAGTAGCAATATTTAAGAACATCAGCCATATTTTGAAATCGCTAAACCTGATTGCTGCAATCGATTCATTCATCGCGGCGTACACCAGGCCGCATAGCTCGACGGCCATAAGTGACTAATTAAAAAATTTTCATACACGTGGCGTATAATCGGTGACTGTCCGCGCGGGAAGCGACGAAAAAGATCTTAGGGCTTGTTTATAGCTTGTTTCTACGTACCGTAGAAAATTTCGCAATTACGATTCACCGGGTAACTATCGCATACTAAAGACTATTTACGTTCGTACGATCGCCGAGATTTGCCACAATAAATCGGCTTCTTCGACCGACCGACGCGATATTAAACTTCGGCATTATGTATTCAGAGCCCGGGCGACCGCACGAGACAGCCATCCATTTCGCGGCGATTCGTTCCCCGAGACATTAACTCGAAACGCCACACCGGGAGAAAGTAAATTATAGATACTACCGGTAAACTATGACTATGGTGTCACACCAGCGAAGAATTCGCGTTCAGTGTCACGTACGAGCGGGCCGGTGTGCGCCTGTGTGGCGAATGTTCTTCAGCGGCGACTATTATATTGATTAGACCTGTTCAAGAATCGCGCGCGCCTCCCGCGCCCGCGGATCGACCCGCGCGGAAGAATTACCGGCGCAATTATACGCCGATCCTCCCGGAACGCGCGAGTGCGAACGGAAGGATTTACGCAAGCGGACGCCGCGTAACGCGGTGTCGTCGCGGAGAGAGAAAGTTTTCCGTCGACACGGCGCGTCCGAGATCGCTGAGGAACACCGACGTGTCTGCACGCGTTGCAGATGCTCTCGTGCGCCGGTCTTGCAACAATAATATGCCAAATTACAGATTGGCGACATCGAACTACCGATGGCGGTTTCCTACAAAAAAAAAGAGAAGAGAGAGAGAGAGAAGCAAATGGAAAAAAAATACGAAAGGAGGACAGCTACCATGCCATGTACGCATCGTGCATCGTGCGGTATTGTCCGAAAGCACACTTGCAATGTGTAGCGTCAGTTGCGACGTCGCAGCGTGCACGGAGCAAAACGCGTGCTGCTGGTTTCACCTCGCGCTCCTACCTTCTCTCTACTCGTATATTTATGTAAGTACAGCCCGTCGATATATAATAACACGCGGTATTGTGCGCGCCGCGCCGTGGTGGTGGCGGTGGCACACGCCACGACCATATGCCACGCAAAATTACCATCGCCGGCTAATTGTGAGATAATAAAATAATGAGACCAGTGAATTCATTAAAGGGCACAGTCGCGAGTCTTCTCTGCTAATGTAGGGCGCGCAGGCCGGCACAAAAGAATATTTGCCGTAAAAGAAATTACGTTCGTCGTCACGAAGCCTGATTACCGTTTTGAAGTGTACTTTCCGACGTACCTTCACGTTTTTCCAAGACATGTTACTCAAGGTCTTGTATAATAAATTCGCACACAACTGGCACCTTCATTTAATTGATTATTTATAAAAGATTTCTATGAAACTGTATAGGAGAGAGAGAGTAGCAAATTCATAACGAATAACAAGCTTTAGTAAGAGAGATCCACCGCAGGTCAATTGATCGAATAATGCCACAATGTTCTTTCAGTACAGCGACAGCTGTTTCACGCAAAAAGAGCGATTAAAGGAATTCACTTTTTGTGAATGACGAGGAAGAGAAAAACGCGACATATTCGTGATTACAGACCAAAGCCTTTTTCAGAGAAACCAAGTTGTTTGAACGCTGACACACTTTACGCCATTATGCAACTTTCTTAATGCACGAGTTACCTATTGATACGTTGCTCTTTATTATTCTGGCATATTAATGAACGTCACTGGTAACACAAGACACGTGCTATTGTAAAAAGCGTTTTGCAAAATATTGTCTGCGACAAAAGAAAATGTCTTGAGCATAAAAAGGAGAGTTATTATTAACGGACATTAAAAGGCAATAATATTACTCATTTATATATTTGCGATGTAAACGTTTCTCCGCTATAACTCACCGTTATTGGTGCTCGTAGCGTTGGGTGTCGTCGGTGTGGTCGGGCTGGACTGCGCGCGTTGTACATCGGGATCACTCGTCACCTGAAACATGACGGTGATATCCGCGTGCGGAGATTCGTTTCCCGAGAGATTGCTGCTTCTCCTATGCAGGTGGTGTATCTGTTCCATGTGCACGTGCCGCAAAGATCTCACGTGTTGCAGAAGCGGCAATCGCTGCCGGGAGGTAAATCCGCATATCACGCAGTGATACAGTTTTCCGAGAGCTTGGATGTTACTGCTCGCTTCAAGCAGATGACGGAGCAGAAGAGACGCGGCTTCGTGCCTCGGCAAGGCGGCGTGTAGGGCCAATTTATGAGCACTATTGGTGTAGTAATCGCACGCGTGGCAGCGCAATTGCGCGGCGCTCGTGGGCGACGCCAAATATTTAAGTTTCCATTCGTTACGCGGACCACCCTCTTTCACGTGGTTCATATGTTGCAGTCGTTGCAAATGCTTGTCAGTTTTACAGTGCAACTGGAAATTTGCCTTCAGGTTGGTTTTATAGGTACAAAGCTTGCAGACGAAGTGTGCGTTCGCCACTGCGAGTATGTCGCCCTCGCGGGTCCTCGTTCTGTCGACGGCTAGATGATGGCTTAGAGCCTCGAGCGAATCCGTCGAGAAATTGTTGCAGATGCAACACTGATACAGATGGTCAGGATCCATATCCGCGGGTTCCGGTGGCGGCTCCATGCTGTCCGGCGAAAGTCCAACGTCACCGCTCAGATTGCTCATAGCGGCGGCGCTCGCTATGGAGCCTATGAGTTCTGACGGAAACTGCGGCATTTGACCGCCGGTCATCATTGTCATCAAGACCGCTTGATTGTAAGCTAAGTCGGCCAACGCTGCTTCCGTGGGTTGCGGTTTGTCCAAGCCACCTAAGTGGAGCAAATGCTCGAGTTGTTGCTGCTGTTGTTGTTGATGATGGTGTTGCGCCTGTTGTTGGGAGAACGCGAATGTTTGCATGTGTTTGAGGTTCTGGTGTAGTACCATCGAGTTGTGCGTATGCTTCTCACTCGTCATGTGTATCCTCAGATTACGCGCGACGTTTGTCTCGTAGTTGCATATGTCGCAGCGAAACGAGAGCTTCGGTTTGCTCTGATTGCCACCCTGGACGGCCCGGTGTGGACTGTGATTCTGCTGATGGTGGGGACTCCGCGTCGGCATTGGCGCGTCCTGAGACGAGGAGGGATTGCTAGTACCGGAGCCAGCCCCGCTTCCCTGCTGCAGTTCTTGCATGTTGTTCAGATGCTTGTCGCTCTGCATGTGTATGCTGAGATTACCCTTCGTCGTGGTGGAATAATTGCACACTTCGCACCTGTACGGTTTGTACCCACAGGTATACGTTTCGCCGCGTGCTAACCTGGGATGAGGCTGACCTGCGTTACAATAATAACAAGATGTCTCGCTCTCCGGATGTTTTTCCTTCATGTGTATTTCTAGAGTCTCTTGGTACTTGTAGTGCCAATTGCACTTGGGACATTTCAAGGTTTTGCAAGAATTTCGACTGTGTATTCCAGCGAGTGGCCCGCCAGGGCCGGCGAGTCGGCTGCTCGCTAATATGATTTCGCATTTTGTACACTCGACCCCACTCGGTCTACCTTGCATGTGTTCTGGACAGACACCTATCGTAGTGCCAGTGAGAAAGTTCGGTGGTGCCTGAGTGAGAGCAGCGTACGAAGATGGAGATCCTTTGGTGGACGAGGTCGGTGGTGGTGGTGAGCTGTAATGCATCGCGTCTGGAGCTTTGGCCCAGGACGCGGCACTCACTTGCGCGCCGGTCCACGGATGCTGCTGCTGCTGTTGATGATTGTACGTGAGCGGATGACTCGAGTGTGACGTGGGCGTCGTGGGAGTGTTCGGCGAAGGTCGTTGTTGCGTCTGCTGCGATTGCTGCTGTTGTTGCTGCTGCTGCTGCTGTTGCTGCTGGGGACTGCTAGGTACGCCGGGTGTGCTCGCCGGTGTGCTCGTTGTGGTCGGCGTTGTCTCGTATTCGTTGGATTCGCTGCGTTGTTGTTGCTGCTGCTGTTGTGAGCTTTGTATTTGCGTGGGCGACGCCTGGGTGCAAGTCGAGCTCGTGACAGGTTCTAGAAAACTGACGAGCGGCTGTTTTCCTCTACCCACGGCCTGTATAATGGCCGACGCCGTCGAGTGAGAGAGTATCTGTCGTTCGTCTTCCATTAGGGTAAGTTGATGCTCGCCCTGGGCGTGCGCGACGAAACTTTTCGCGTACCCAAAACTGAGCTTGCATATGAAACACATTAGGATAGGTTTGACGGGCACTGACGCGGCAGGCGGCGGCGGTACCGTGGGCGCTGGAGGTGGCTGTTTACTACCCTCCGCGCTCCTGTAACTGATCACCCGATAACTGTGCATTACGGGAAGATCAGGATTGTGCTGTTGGGTCGCCGAGCGCTGTTGTTGCTGCTGCTGTTGCTGCTGGTAGGTTGCTGCCTGATGCGCGTACAATCGCGATACATAGTACGCACTTGCAATTTGTGGGAAAACTAAAGAATGAGGAACCGATACACCGCGCCCATCTACAATACAACCGTCGGGCAGAGAGTCGTCCTCGCTGAGCTCGCTCTCGCCTTCGATGATATAGGCCGACCCGTCAGGGTTGTAGACGATTTTACCGTCGAATTTTTCCACGTCGCCGCCCGTCGGACTCGGGCTCGGGCTGGGACCCTGTTGTTGCTGTTGTTGCTGACTTTGCGACTGCATCGTCATAGCCGTGGTCGTGGTGGTGGTGGTGTCAGCGATAGGTGTGGGTGTTGGTATCGCGTCGCGGGTGCAGGGTTCTGTGCCCGAAGGTGGACTAGCCGTGCGGGGATGATGGGGCTGATGGAGTGCAGCCCCAGCCGCAGGGGGGGACCCACCCACTCGGCCCCCCTCCTCCTCCGGGCTCATCTCCTGCTTCTGCTGCGTGTACGTGGAATTTTGGAAGGGTCCGCCGTGTTGGTGCTGTAGATGTTGCTGATGATGGGCCGCCACCAGCTGCAAGAAGTGATGCTCGATTGCGTTTGGCGTATGCTGCTGTAGATGCGAGGGAGGAATGTTGTGGTGCTGAAGGTGGTACGGGGGATGAGGCTCACTGGAGGGCATCACCCCAGACGTGAGGCGGGCGCCAGCCTCACATCACCTACGGCGTCTGCGCCTGCGTTCTCCGGACTTCCTCCACGGACTCTTCTTCCGTGCGGATTCGCCCGCTTTCTCGTCGACTGCCTCCCCGTCTTATCTTCCTCGTCACGAAGGGACGGTTCACTAGCTACCCCGACGCAAGCCCAGGTCGTACCTGTAACAGTTCAAATAAAGATCGGTCATTCTTTAATCTAATAAAACGTTTCATTCTCGCAATCATTTTAGACAAACGTTTAATGCTCGCAATAATTTCATGCAAATATTTAATACTGACAAAACTTGTATACAAAAGTTTTTGTGCCGTAAGCGTACAATTTCGAAGTGGCTGGAGATTTCGTTCAACTTCAGAAGGTCTTCAAATTCTATCCGTCGGATAAGATACTTGTTAGCTCGCTCGTGACCGAATGAATTCGCAGACGGGACATTTAGAAGTCGTCCGGTCGTCTAATCCGGTTAAACAGCGTCAACATTTCCGAGGACGACCGAAAGATAGCGAAATACGCAGAAGTGCAGCAAGCTGCGTGTGCAGAGGATCGCCCGGAGAAGACGGCGGTTAGGTACACAAAGCCGCGGCGGAGAAACGTCGTGGTAACACAACGGCTCGTTGTGTTCGGATTACCTGAGTGAACCCAGCTGTGTTTGCGATCGATCGGCCGGGCTTATCTATCGATAAAATATCAATGTTCCCGTCCGAGCAATATGAGAACGAAAGACGAAAAGGAGCGCAGCGAGCTCGACGGCGAGTCGTCGCTATGAATGCTCGCCTGTATGCCCTCAGATTGAGGATCCTTCGTATCTCCTACGCGTGTCTCTCCCCCCTTTATCAACGGTGAAGCTTTCGTCATACAATTCACTATGAAAGAGCATTGTTGGCCTCATTTTGCACTGAATTAACTTCGCCTTGCCCTCCATCCCCCCCCCTCTCCTTTCTCTCGCTCTTTTTCCGATAGAATATTTATAATTTTTTTTATCACACATAAATTTTAACAGTTTTTGCGCAAATTTAATTATTCCTTCTACATTTTGCTCCACCATCTTAAACAAAGTATAATTTGGCAAGGTAGAAAACGACATTTTAAGTGTACTTTTTAGGTTCGCTAAAGACGGTACATATTTCAAATTCCTGAAAAATCGTGTGACGGAGACGCGAGTGGAATTAAAATCTCGGATAGGACTCCCACGAGATTCACTCGATTCAACGTACAGGCAATAACGCGGTGTTACTTCTCGCGCCGTTGAGATAATCCGACTCCAAATTGCGCAAATCGACAAATTACAACTGCGTAAGCGGATGGGAACGCACACGCGTTGGCAATTCCGGGTCAGGAAGAGCTAACGAGAGCCGTGTGAAAAGGATTAGGCGCGTCCTGCGCGGCGTGGCGCGTCACCCGAAACGAGGCACGCCGGTCGCTTTGATTACCACGAGGGGGATAAACACGCTCACGGGAGCATAATCCACGTTTCCACTGAAACGTGCGCGATGATGCGAATTCCTGCCGCGAGCGAGTGGCGAGGGCGAAGGCAAGACTCTAATAATCTAATCCCAATTACGCGGAATCGCGGTCTCGAATCAACGTCGTGAGGTGGAGGCCGGCCGCAAGCATTCACGGAATCTAACGGATTAAAGATGAGCCGGGTGGGTGTAACGCGGGATTTATGCGCCGGCTCGCGTGCGTGTGTACGGGGGTGTGGAACGGCGTGACGATCCGCCGAGAGAGAGTGTACATCCCATCCTGCGGAAGAGAAGCCTCCGAACCGATCCCGTCCCTCTTCCCTGCCCCCTTCTTTCTCTCTCTCTCTCTCTCTTTCTCTTTCCCGATTCGCCCTCCTCACGCCCGTTGGCCGCGGGCGGTATCGCCGGACATTATGGTACATACGTGTATACGCGGCATTACACGGCTCCCTCCTTCACCCTGGCGCGCTCCCTCCCGCTTCACCTTCTACTCCTCTCTCTCTCTCTCTCTTTCTCGCTCGCTCCCCCATCGAACCGCGCCATCGCCACAGTTATAATTCCGCGGTGCAAACGCCATAATCTAGTCACCGTATCCCCCGGCATCTCTTTCTCGAACGATACCGCTTTTATAATGCGTGAGGTACGCCGGCCGCGATCGTTCCCTCGGATTATCATCGCTCGATACCGCCAATCCTAGGCGAATCCTCCTTGCACGGTGCCCAATCACGTGCCGCGCGTTCGAGAGACGTTCCGCGATCCGATAAAACGGGTGTTTCATCGACGGCGTTCATTAAAGCAAAATCGTACACGTCGAGGAATATAATTGCGCGGCCCACTGGATCGGTGCTAAACGAGGGGGGATGAGGGGGGGGCAAAATGCACCTTTACTGTAGTCCCGTAAATATGTAACGCTCTGCTTGAACATCGTGTAATTCATAACATCAACGTCGATATTCTTTTACGGCTAATAATTATAACTCGACGTAAGTCATGATGTGGCAATAATATCAAAAAGTACAAATTACTACATTGTACATTAACGAAGTAATTTAATTTAAATTTGATATTGCAACTAAAGACCTGAGAACACGAAAAAACTGAAGCCGTGAGTCTTAAGAGTTAAAGCCTATCACACAATGGGAAAGCGTAGGCAACAGGAATAAGGAATAGAAATACGGAAGTTTATTCATCTTTCAACATTATAGATGCGAAAGACTGTTGCATTTGTGCGACGAGTGAATATCAAAATTCTATTTACATCGTTGCTTTCCCTTCTGAGATACACTGAAGTATTTCAAGATCTCTTTATCCGAGTTCTCAGAATTAAAAATGTAGGTATTTATTTAAGGCGAACAATCTGACGATTCAGTTCGGTGTCATCTGTATAAACGATATTGATACGTTATCACATATTCAGAGTGCACGCGCGTGGTACGCGAGGAAAAATAAGGGTAACAAAGGGCATCGGGACAAACGAAGAACATCTGCCAATCTGACATCACCTGCCCCGACTCGCCTATTTCTAGTCAATTTATCACGCATTTCGGTAACGCTAGGAAGAACGGAAGGACGACTAGCGGCGTCGACGCGTCGACGTTAGAGGCGTATGGCGTCGAACGGCTTTGTTTTCGCAGGGCCCGGCCCTAATTAAACGATAGCATCTTAATTGTCTCCCGACCATTCTAACGCGGCGATTCATGGCCGCGATCGTTCCGAGGGTAGAGCGCCAAGTTTCGACTGCTTTCTTATATTGCAGCGTCACGATTCCTGTTTGTACGCCAGAAATCTGTGGGCGCTTAAAAAAATTATTCACGATTCTTTTCCAGGAATAACAGCTATAAGCACGTTTATCTTATCTCAAAACTATTACTTTCCTGGTATAGCTAAATTAACTCGCCAGCGTTATTCAATTTACAAACACGCTACATCTGAATCTTAAATCTGAAGACTGAACCACTTTCTTTTTACACTGTAAAATTATTCTCTTTGTTTTATCGGCGGAACGGCAATATAATATTTTTATTCCGCCGACTGCGTCTGCTTCAATGTTAATGATTTGTGAGAACGTAGCAATGATTTTTGAGAATTTGGCGCACATCTTTCGAGAGAGGGAGAGAGAAATGGCAAATCGATAAATATTTCACGAAGCAAGTGAGACAAGCTGAAAACGAACACCGCTGGTATCTACGAGCGTAACAGCGAAGCGGTACACCACGAAGCCCGAACGTAATTATAACTTTGGAGAAAGTCGAGGACGATCACAGGTGGCTGATGAGTGTTCAATAGTGGAAAAGGGAAGCGCATGACATAACGCAGCGGGAAGAAAGACGGTGGAGGGCACGCGGTGCGGCCGGGAGGGGGAGGAGAGCGAGAACGATTCGGCAAAGGGAAGAGCCTCCGATGATGGGAGTTAAATGTTCGACGAAAGAGCGACCGCGAAGTCGACGCACCGTGCCCTTTTGTTTGTCGCGGTGTTTCGCTCGAAAGTCCCATTGTATCCTTCGGAGCGGAGGTAGGAGGCATCCATGGTCCCTACGGGGCCCACATGGCGAACCCGGCCGCGTTTATTCGGCACGAAATACGCAAGATGCGCGCAATTATGGCCTCTCAATTATCTCGTACGCGTCTCGTTATTTATTGAATATCGTGCCTGCTTATTTCTCAGGCGAGTTTGCGTGCCGCGGTAAGAGGGTGTCCTCGAAGGGTGGCGAGGGGGTAAGACGGCAGGAGCGGTTCCCCCCTTTTTTTTTCCTCGTGGGTTTCGACACGGCTCGACGTGTGGGGATGCATTGTTCGGGCTGATACCGAAACCGGAAGTCGTCGAAATTCCGCGTCGCACAAATCGAAACCGCAGACTTTCGCGTGCTCCAAAAACGGCTCACGCAGAATAAACAGGTGCATTAATATAGCACATTACAGCACATTACACCACGATATGACACCCTTTGAATTATCGTTAAACCGCATTACGAAGATTCTACCGATTATTAAAGGAAACATAAAATATTATACACAATATGTTATTTTTTATATATGTATATACAGTACCCTCTATAAGTTTGGAAACACCCTATATTTTACAGATAAATAATGGCACAGCAGCGATCTGTGTACATGTTTGGTATAAATATATCATAAGTCGTTTAAATAACGATAAAATTACGATACGTTTAAATAACGAATTAGACAGGAGGATTCGCAAAGAGCGAATTGCGAGTGAAGCGCATCCTCTGGGAGATTCTCCCGCAAGAATGGAAACGTTTCCCGACTGAATCTCCGCAAAAGTTAATCCATCGCACGCCGCGAGTACGCAAGGCAGTCAATAAAGCAAAAGGTGGTTACTTTGATTTAGTTTAAATCTTTATCAAAAGCTTGTCGTATGCACGTATGTATCTTCGTTTTAGTTTTCTTTAGTTAAATGAACACAATGCAAAATACATTGATTTTATTAGGTATTTCTTTCATATTACACACTTTTATAAAGTGTTTTCAAACTTGTGGAAAGTACTATATATATATATATATATATATATAACGTATTATGTAGTGATTTATAGTCATCTTTTGAAGTATAGTTATCTTAATTTT